GGCAATCCGTCGGGGCTGTTTATATTTTTGCCCCGTACGGCCTTCCACCCGTACCAATTAATCCCTTAAACCCTTTTCCTGGAGCGCCGGCTTTTTAGCCGGACCTACCCGATCCGGAGGGCTGACCCTATTCTCTAAAACTCCCTCTAACCCTTAACCTATTCTAAACCACCCCAAAAGGGGAAAATCCTAATTTCCCTGAACCACCCCGAAGGGGGAAAATCCTAACTTCCCTAAACCTAACCTGCGTCCCTACTTCCTCACTCTCTCTCCTGATTTCTGAGTTTTTATTGGAGATCCTAACGGGCATCCCCGATGCTCGTTACAGTAGAAACGCCCAGGACTGAGTCTCAACTCCTACTAGGTTTACAATCGCCCTATTAAATTCGTAAATGACTTGAAGTTATATCTTGTGGTTCTACAATACGGATGCAACTTCAAGTCTTTCACGAACTTAATTGACCGATTGTACTACCCTACCCATTCGAGAGGCTTGATGATCGCTAGATTGGCTCGTTGACGGCCAGTACTGCCCATATATTAAGGGGATTGGAGGTCGAGATGAAAGTGTATAATTGTGTCAGAATATATTCAACAAGTGTCTATAATTTACAAATATACAACAAAACCCTATTATCGCAAATTGCCTCCCCCGGTTGGTTTTCCGGGTATCTGTGGACGTCAAAAAAAAATCTGGGACTCAATACGCGATAAACACAACCAGCAATTCAGGGGATGTTGGTCGGGAGCACCCTTACTGACGTTCCAACTCTAAAATGTACCCATAAATACCTCACGAATCCCTCCTTTAGGGGTGTTGGCGCTCGCAGCCAGACTGTCCATCCCGGGAAGATTTAGCGAAAAGAGTTCCTCTGACCCACGCCGGATGATAATCTTAATTTCCCCTCTTCGCGCCGCAGTTAATGAATCGACACGATTTATCCTTTAATTTTCTTTTATGCCTCAATGGTTCCCTAACTCTGAATCCCTATAAATTCCGTTAAATTTCCCAAGTCTCCAACTAATCTAAGACCACAAAATTTTACGCATTCTGGCATAATCTCTGACCGGTTCGGGACACATCGCGAAAACTTCATTAAGTATTCTATAATTCTCTCGGTTTTTTTCGCCTTTCCCAGATCGTTGTTCTTAATGTCCGCTGTCAGTAAAATAGGACTGATCTCTAATTAAGCGGAATGTAACTCGTGATGAGAAAAATCGCGTTTGTCAGATTGTTCTAGTCTGACACTGACAAGTAGACAGACATTAGTAAATAGTATTGTAATAACAATTTATCCTATAATCATAGGCAATCGCGAAAAAATGGGAACGGCTTGGTATTGTCGGTTGGGAATACATCCTGGAGAAAGTATACGCTTTGGCACATTTGCCAGCAGAACGGATCCCAGATGGCGCTCAGCACATTACTGCACTGATTGATAGAGAGGCACAACCCAGTCTCCAAACATTTGGTGCATATCTGAGAACTTTCTGGGTACCATTACGCGACGTGATGTCCGTATTTAGAAATCCAGTGCGCACAAACAATACATGTGAAAATTTTCACTTGTATGCAGCCAAACGTATTGGAGTGCATCAGCGTATATGGAAAATGATGTGTAAGCACTCAAAAAAATAGTCCTTGCATTTGTCCCCGCATTTAAGCATTTTTCCACAATATCTCTTCAACCGGCCTTTCCAAGGTAATCGAGTCAGCTGTGGCTGATTACAGAACATTGACAGCTGGAGGTCGCCATAGAAACTGCAGACCGTTAACTCTTCAAGTGGCGGATACAGCCATATTAAGATATGAAACTGAATTCGAATTGAATCGGTAAAATGCAAGTAATATTACTATGATTATTATAAATCAAGTAGTACTTGTGTTACGTATAACTGAAAAAAAGCGAAAAAAAATCGTAAAATCGATGTTGGAGGCAACGTGAGCAATATTCACTGTAAGTGGATTATCCAAATGTCTGCAATCCAATTATTCATTTTTTTTCCAGATTAAGTGTTGAGGAATTTTTGACATTATTGCGAATCTGAGGAGGATGCATCTGTCGAGAGGTTATTAAAAAAAAGTAATTCGGTTGTTTTATAAGCAAAATAATGACATACTGAATGATGAAGTTATTAGTTTTTTAGTTCGATGAAAGACAACGCTTAGTAGCGGATGATGATGGTGATGAAAGGGATGGCCCTGACGAGGGTGCCCTGAATATAAATCTGAATGCTACTCCTGGTGCTACTACGGTCGTCACCTAAGAGTTACACCATAATGGACAGTAACTTTGACGTTTTCATTTATAGGTGGATTCGTTGAGAACCAATTGCTGTATCGGAGACGAAGAGGTATCCATGAAGGTAATCAATCAATCTAGCTGAATGGCAAGGCTTATTCAATCCATCATTCCAACCATGGTCAATCTTTGCTTTATAACACCAGTTTTTGATCGTGAAATTATACCCGAGGCACCACAAGTGCAGAGAGGAATTGGAGACGTCGCACGTCCACAAATAGCGAGAGCTGGCCAAATAGTTCTTCCAAGAAGGCCTCGTGGCCGTCCTCGTCAAAATATGCCACTTAACCAGAATCAGGCTGTACCTGCAGCTGATCCACAGTTGATGGCTCAGGAAGGAATTGGGCCTCCAGCAATTCCAATTGTTCTTCCACCAAGGAGACCTCGAGGTCGCCCACGCCGACGGCCTATGGCAATTGAAGAACCTGCTGTTCTTATCGAGGCGTCAGAGGACGTACGACCTGCACCAAACGCAGCGCCGGCAGAGTACGCAGCATCTGTAGAGAATGCACGTGGGGAGGACGTACTCCATATTTTGGTGAGGAGCTTTCAAGGTCAACCGCGTCGTCGTCGTAATGCCGAACTTGAAGGTGATGCAGAATACGCGAATGATGCAAGGCCTCCAAATGCTGCTCAATTTGTAGATGACACAGAGCGTGTAACTGCTGTCATCTTACATGATGCAGCGCCCGACGAAGTAGCTGATTTTATGATCTTAACATCAATTAATGCTTGACGGTACAACACCGGTGATGATAATTTCATTATTTAAATTTAGGTACAAAACGCAGGAGAATTAGCCGAGGTTCTTGTACTCGATGATACTCCCCAGGCGAATATTGGCATTGAGGGAGTACCACCTATCAAAAAGAAAAGGACCAGACGAGGAGGAGCCAAACAAAGTGAAAAAAGATTTACTATAAAACGTATTTTGCGTACTTGGAATACGCAAAATTCTTAGTACTGGGTAGCCGATTGGTTAAGACGTCAGGCATGCGACAGGTCATGAATTAGATCCTCGCCACTACGGGAATTTTCTGGCTGGTTATAATCTCTCGTCTTCATCGTTGTGCGGAGGTCTCGTAAAAGAGATAACTGTACCTGACCAACGGTGTTCCTGTGGAGTGAGCTTTGTACTTGATATTTAGGCGAAACAATCAGGGATATGATGAAATAGTACATTGTGTCATTAGGCCGATAACTATCCGCCGAATGACACATACTATTTTTATTCACGAAGATCCGAAGGAGGAGCTACTTAATACAGCTAATATAATCGATTCCTTAATATAATTTTCATCCTTTTTTGTTTCAAATAAGCTTTGAAATTATTATACGTTCTATCGTATACTGGTTTAGACAGTTTATGAAACGAGTATGGCTTCAGCTTCGGCTGCAGAATCCAGAACATCCTGGGGAATTTCCCCACCGTCATTTATGTCATCTTCCTCATTATTAAGGTTATCAATGTTTTGATAAGTAAGAGAGTCGATGTTAGGGAATATATTTAAGCTAAAGCAAGGTTTTTCCATTAAAACTTGTGCCCTAATCTCTTCACAACTAGCGTCTTCATCACTGCTCGTAATTATAATATCACACATTTTTCACTTTCTTTCCCCCTTTGATTTTTCCTCGAAATGAAACACAAACTCTCATCTGAGACACAGGAGTTATGCTCAATTGTTCAATCGTGCACTCTCGAGCATATTCGGAATATTTCGGGCCCAAGTCACCCTGGCGGACTACTCGATAGGGTGGATCGAGTTGTGCACTGAGATGTGGATCCACATTACCATCGATTCAATCTCGAACACCTATCGACTCAGTGCACAACTCGATTCACTCTATCGAGGGCCTATCGAGTAGATCTCGAATGGTCCGCCAGGGCACGTTCGTTCGGTGCCGGATGCATTTCGCATTGAAAACTCGCAATCGTTAAATATTGCTACGGTTTGAACTATTACGAATAGTAAAATCTATTCAGTGAAAACCAGGCCATCACCATCACCACCCACAAAGTTCTCCACAAGCAAGGCTATTGACCATTTTAATGCAGGGGCAACATTGATGTGAGTATTTTTGGGAAATAACTCTGATATGGTGAAAAATTGCTTTATTAAAGCACCTAACCTCTCATGCCCACGTGCTGGAGATAGAGGATTAATGGTTTTTTTTTCAGGAAAATCACGGGGTACGTCGATTGCATCGAAGGCATCAAAAAACTGCCTAATTCCCCATCGAAGTGGCTGTATAAATGCATCCTAAATAATAATGATCAAAGGAGGGTTAGAATACTTTTTTGGGGAGATGACGCCTGCAAATACAACACAGAAATTTCCACGTATCAGGTATTGAATTAATCATTTACATCAATTTCCAGTCAGATAGAAAAAAAATTCAACAAAAATTAATTTCTGGATACTTTGTCATATATTTTTTTCGCTGAACTTGCAATTGCAAACAAAGATTCATCTTTTAAACTCAATTCTCAAATCATTAATCGTACTTTATAATGTCATCTCATTTTCAACCCCTTGAAAGTGAAATTATATCCAATCATACGACACACAAAAACCAACATTTTTTAAAGAAAAATTTAGTTTCATTCATTTTTTTGTCTTTTTCTTTCCGTTCGACTATGATTTTTTTAACTCAGAATTCCATACCCTATTCATCACGAGTTGAATCCCTAGAAATTGAAATTGTTTTTAGTCAGCTGTAAGAAAAAATAGGAAAAAATTTCAACGAAGATCAGACAAAAGACACAAACTCAAATAATAAAAAAGAAAACACGATTTTAACAAAAAAATGTATCAGTGAGTTCTTTTTGTTTGGTCCGATTGCTTGCCAAAATGGATTGTTCAACCTCATAGTTTTTCAAATCGTTTACGACATTTTCAGTCTCCAGAACTACAACTTAAATGAAAATTATAAAAACTTAAAAATTGTCCATTTCTTTGCGCAGATCCTCAAGATCACAGGTAGAGTGATTCAAGAGGCTAACCCCACTTATTATCGATCAGGCGACACCGTGGGCAAGAAAGAATTTTAGTTTGGGCGTGGAAGCACCCTGGAAATTCTTGGAATATTTGATATTGTTAACGATGCTTCGGGAAACAGGAAGGAGGCAATCACATTCGAAAGGATTGAAATGAAGGACGTGTGTACAGCTGAATCTCCGGTTATCGTTTCCGGATGGTTGAAAGAACATTTGAGGAGTATAATCACCGCTAACGGGGCCAGCTACGGATGTGCAATGATCTGCACAGATGTGCACAGAATAACGGTAGACGTGATATCATTTGTACCGAAACCTGAGTTTGTAGAAGGGATGAAGATTGATGTCCAAGGATCTATCGAGCGTCGTGCAGATGCGTTTTTTTTTAACGTCAAATCTATGGAACAAATCACAGCAGTCCCTTTCGCTCCAGTGATGACGGAAGACGAAATGGACGATGCAGTTGTGTCACCCCCTCTAACTCCCAAACGAGATGCAGATGACTGTTCGCAGAATGGAACGGAGAAGGTAGTGGAAATGGATTGATTTGGGCAGTATCATCTTTAAAAGCGTTTCAATTTCATTTAATATTTGTTCAGATATTGCATCTATATATTTTTTCATTTTTCAGAGGCAAAAATTAGATTAGACTCATTGTGGCACTTCTCCCGCCCCCACCACATTCCGGTTGATGATTATTACCCTTTATTTTCTTTTTTATGAAGTTGATAAAAAAGTTGCATGATGTCAAAAATAAAATCAGATAACAAATAACAGATAACAAATCACACTTTCACCGGAAAGCATGATTTAAACAAACAACAAGATAAACAAGAATTTTCAATTTAGCATTGGGCATTAGAACTATTCAATTTTGAAATGAATTTCAAATGAAAATTTGCATTTTTTAATTGAAAAAAATATCTCATATGTCATGGCAAAAAGTGATTTCTTTTTAGTTTTTTTTTTTAATTTTTTCAGTTTCCTTCGTCATTAAAATGAAAATATCTCATCAGTGATGGCAAAACATGATTTCTTCTTAGTGGTTTCTTTGATTTTTTCAATTTCCTTTGTCATCAAAATGAAAACTGCAAATTTTTATCATTTCCTTCATGCAGTAAAAATAACTATTTTATTGAAGTCTGCCCAGTAATTCATTGTCATGCGTTAACTGTTTTCAGTAGCGACAATTTTATAAGATTTAGTCAAATTTCAAATTTTCATAATTGTATGTTCTGAAATGTCTGTTCACTATTTTTTTGTGATATTGCTCAACAAACTCGATAATAGACTGTAACGTGACATTTCCCTAAGCGACCGGAAATGCCCATCACCTTCGCCCTTCCTCCCTCTGGCCTCGTTGCCGATGCAAAAACTTAACTTAAATCGGGACCTAAAAAGGTTGCCGGGCGCCAGCTAATTTTCCTGATCGAGAAATGAGCGACTCGAAAACTAAATTCTAGATTAAAACCGCAAAACGTATCACTAACCCGTACTTATATCTAATTCAGCAAGGGGGTTGAGGGAGAGGTAACGGATGCCTGCGCTGCTCAGTATGCTAGGTTGTGGAGAGAGGGGTGGATTCGGGGAAAAGGGCAAAAAATGTTCAAAGAAAATAATTTCTCAAAACGATACTCACGTTTCCAAAACTAGCTAAATTTTATTAAATTAAACCCGAACACTGATGTTGGAAATTTCCCGGTTGACGGAAGCCAACGGTATTGCTTTCACCCGCCGCGGCGGGGATAATTCCAAAAAACGAAAAGTAAAAAAAAAGAAGAAAATGACCCCAGCTAAATCCGCGAGGCCCCGGAGGGTGCTCGGGATACCTCCGAAATTTCGGGATTTTGTAGATACAGTTGATTGCAAAATTTTCCCATTGAGAACCTCCCCATAATTCCACGAGCCCTCAGGAGAGGCTCGGGATTTCCCCAAAAAACTAGGGCCCCATAGAAGGGCTAATAATA